TTGCCCCTCCCTGACTCCAGATCCGCCCTACTTTGGTTTTTTTTCCAACTGAAAATTGCGTCGGAAATCCGCCTATAAGAAGCCGAAAAAGTAGGGCGGAAATTTCTGCACCCAACATAGAATAGGGCGGAAATCCACGGAAGTAGAGCGGAAACAGCCACAGAAAAGTAGGGCGGAACTTAGCATCAGCGGGGCTTGAAAAGTAAGGCGGAAATTCCAAGCCCCACTTACGAATTTCCCCAAAGCAGGGCGGATCCGGAGTCAGGGGCTGTCTTCCCACATGTTTTCTGGGTTTTCGTCCTCCCCCCCACTTCCCATATTGTCCCACATTTTCCCTGGAAATCGGCGGTTGCTTGTTTCTGTGCGTTTTTTACCCTCCTGAGCTACGGCCAAGAGCAGGAGGGACTTGAGATTGCCTGGAAAAGTCAGGAGCGACATTCTGTCGGCCTCTCGAGGCCGCTTACTTGCTGCTCACGACCTCTTGGGTATGATCCTCCTCGCGCGGTTCCTCCTGCTGCTGCAATGGGCGGTCCTCCAGCGGAACTGCCTCTGCTAGTTTTTTGCTGGGTCCTGGGCTCGTCGGAGACACCGAGTTTTTTTTGCTAGTTTGTTTGATAGTTGTTTGCTGGGTCCTAGTTTTTTTGCTAGTTTTTGGCTGGCCGAGAAACCGAAGTGTGAGCCTGCTCTTCTGGGGCCGGTCTGGCTGGTGTCGTATACGGCAGGCTCGTGCGGCGTCGGCGCCGCGCCTATTCCTCCGCCTCCTCCTCCTCCTCCTCCTCCTCCTCCTCCTCCTCCTCCTTCCCCCCTCCAACGTATGGTGGTGGTGGAAAACAGGCCGATCAAGCTTACCCGTCGGTCGGAAGAAGTGGGTGGCACCATCGATCGCTCCACCCTGCCCCGATCGCGATCCCGGTCGTTCACGGTGGAACTCCGTCGGGTCCTGTGGCGTTTTACCGTGTGCCCCTCGCTGCTTCCGTGTCGCGTGCGGCGTCGGCGCCGGCAGCGCCTTTCGACGCCGCGCGGATCGCTCCACCCTGCACCGAGCGCGACCCCGGTCGTTCACGGCTGAACTCCGTCGGGTCCTGTGGCGTGTTGCCGTGCCCCTTGCTGCTTCTGTGTCGTTCTACCGTGCGGACTTCAACGAGAATTCTATAAGCATAAACTGTTGGAGGTCCGCGCGGAGTTCTTGGATCCGCACTGGAGCCCCATCCCTGGCGGAGCACGCTATGGGCGGCGCCGAAGGCGCTGCCAGGGGGGCCCGGCCAGGAGCCGATCCAAGAAACCCGCGCGGAGCGCCAAACGTTTGTGTTCATGCAATTCTTCGCTCGTCGGTCAACCTTGAACGCCTTCGCCGGCGTCGCCCGCGCGCCATCGCCGCCTGAGCCTACCATACGTGGGGAACGCTGCGACTTCCCTGGTCCCACGAGCCGCGTCTTCGGGGCATGGTGCTTCTGAAGGGGCCCAGGGACACACAAATAGACAGACACAGAGATCCCAGGATTCCCCATATGTTTTACATATTGTCTCGATGTTCGTCTTCAACTCCACTGCCCATATTTTCCTACATGGTCCTGGGAATCGACGGTTAGTTGTGTCTGTGTCTATTATTCCCTTCTGAGCTTTGATCATGCTCACGGGCAGTTCGATGCCGAACTTCATCTTTGAGCGCCTGGCCGAGGTGCTCTTGTAGGGCCACTGTGTCCAAAATTCCGCCTCAGAAGAGTACGGCGGATGTTTCCGCAGAAGTATGGCGGACACAGGGACTGCAGAAAAGGCGGAAACCAACATCAAAGGAGCTTGAAGAGTGGGGCGGTCATTTCCTCCCTACTTGCGACATCGCCCAGACAATCACTGCGCATCCTTTTTCAGGGTGTTACAACGTTGTCGCCACGTTGGACCTCGGGAAACCGTCGCAAACATTGGAAGCCTCCGAAGACAACTGCAAGCCCTTCCCGCCCCCTTACAGGCATCCTAGATCGGGTCCGAGTAGAAAGGGTCTAAGGATCGCGCCGCATGGCCAACGCATCGCCCATGCATCGGCGCATTGCATCGGCGATGCATCGGCGACGTCGGCGATACATACACGGCGTCGGAGTGGAGAAAATGAGGCTCCATAGCGAGCTTCACCGCCGATGCATCGCCGATGCGGCGCGATCCTCCGACACCATCTGCTCCGACCCCGTCTGGGAGGCCTGGACAGTTGCTGCTTGCGCGCCCCCCGCCTTCTTGGTCTGGTGCTGCGCCGAGGGGACCTGAGCATCGCTTCACGGGTCCCCACCCCCATGGGCGTGGCCTGGGCCCCACTGGCCGATGTACTCTCTACAGCCGGGGATTAGGCTGTTCCCTTCGGGCTTCGAAGAGTATATCTCGGCGGTGGACAAACCTCCCTTTAGTAGACCTCCCCTTAGTGAAAACGGCCTGGGACCGAAACCGACGCACCTGGACCCGCAAAAATGACGGCCGCGACGCCCTCTCGCGAACCGAAAACGGCCAAGTCCTTAATCGACGTGTCAGGGTAGGAGATCTGTCCACCTCCGAATCTCCCAAACTGGGAGGGGGGGGTGGGGGCGGCGTCCCGGGGCCCCCGACCTCTCGGCCCCTGGGGACCGAGTCTTCCTCCCGAGGCGTTCTGCAACGGCCCCGAGGCACGGTGAGGGCCCCGAGGGGCCGAAGACGACGAACTATAGTCTGCTGCGAGCGATGCCCACCGAAGCCTTCGGCGTTTGAGCCCGAGGGTGCGCGCGCTCCTTGGAACGATGTGCGCGGGGCGCGGTGGTCTCGGCCAGTGGCATGCCGTGGCATGTTCTGCTCGGTTATGATATGCTTTGTATTGTCCGATCTGCCATAGCATGCGTTCTTCTGCTCTGTTGTGCAATGATATGATGTGCCATGCTATGTGGTGAGATGGCATGCGTTGCTTGGGTATGTTCAGTTCTGCGCTGATGTGTTATGGTATGCTGGATTTGTCATGTTATGGAATGGTATGTGCTGCGATGCTGTAACATGGTATGCACTGCTCTGCCATGGTGTGTTAAGTTACGATATGGTGTGTCACGATATGGTATGTTATGCTCGGATCTGCTCTGTTCGGTGGTGTGGTATGCTCTGTTCTGTGGGGGGCCTGGGGATCTGACAGCCGCGGTATTCAGAGTGGGCGAGCCGGCGCGGGGGGCGGGCCCACCAATGATTATCTGGAGCCTGGGGATCTGGCGGCCGCGGTATGCAGGGCGGGTGAGGGGTGGCGGGACCACCAAGGATTATCTGGAGCCTGGGGATCTGGCATCTGCGATATGCAGGGCGGGGGGGGGGGGGCGGGACCACCAGGGATTATCTGGAGCACGGGGATCTGGCGGCCGCGGTATGCAGGGCCGGCGGGCCGGGGGGCCTGTTCTTAAAAACCCTAACGACCCCAACCCGTTGGGTGGGGAAGAATCTCCGCCTCGAGCTCTGCGAGATGCCCGATGGGATGGGCATGGGGATGGGGGTTCACGATGGGGATCGCGATGGGGGCCCAGACATGCGACGTCCTGATCGTCCCTGGAAGTCCCGACCCTTGCCCCGGGACCAGTTTTTCGTCCTGAGCCTTTTTTTTTGACGGCCCCGAGGCCCGGCAAGGGCCCCCCCGGGGCCGAACGTAGCGAAAAACCTCCCGCCGGGATCTTTCTTTACGACGCGATCATATCTCTGGGGATGAAGATGGGGAGCGGTTTAACGATGCTGACCTGCCCCGAGGCGACCGTCCTTGAGCAGGGACCGACCGTCCCGGCAGTCCTATAGTCCTACCACGAAATGTTCTTCGAGCCCCAAACATAGTGATAAAAAAGAAGACAGCCCCAGCCAGAAAAGTTCCGAGAACATCTCGTGCAAACCACACAAGGTTCTTCGAACATTTTTTTGGTGGGCCCATAGTCGAGCCAGGACGCTTCGCCACTGCTTGGCTCGGCTACACGCAGGAGCGACCCTGGGTAGAGTGACCTTTGGTGCGCGGCTTTTGGGGGGGCGCGCAAGACGCCAAAAATCGCATTGCGTTCGGCGATCGGGGGGCCCCACTGGTCGGCGGTGGACAAACCTCCCTTTAGTAAACCTCCCTTTAGTGAAAACGGCCTGGGACCGAAACCGACGGACCTGGACCCGCAAAAATGACGGCCGCGACGCCCTCTCGCGAACCGAAAACGGCCAATTCCTTCATCGACGCGTCGGGCTAGGAGATCTGTCCACCCCCGAACTGGGCCCGCACCCCAGACATGCGACGTCCTGATTTTTTCAGGACGGCGTCCCTGGAAGTCCCGACCCCTTCCCCGGGGCCGGTTTTTCATCCGGAGTCGTTTTTTGACGGTCCCGAGGCCCGGCGAGGGCCCCCCAGGGCCGAAAATGGCCAAAACCAGCCCGTCCTGATTTCCCAGACCCCCGACGTAATGAATTTTTCGTTACGTCGACCCCAGAATTCTCGACCCCTTCCCCAGGACCGGTTTGTCATCCTGAGTCGTTTTTTGACGCTCCCGAGGCCCGGTGAGGGCCCCCAGAGGCCGAGAATGGCGAAAAAACTCGAGGGGGTCTGGGTTTTTCACGACGCCATCATGTCTGGGACCAAAGGTCACTCCAGCGAAAGGCCACTCTGACGTCTAGTCGAATTGACGTCCTCAGCTGCCCCTCCGCCGGCCCGGCACCGCCCTGCGCCTCCGCCGGGCTGCCCGGCAGGCGCCCGGGCACCGCGGGGCCCTCCGCCTCGTCGCCCGCGCCGGGCTCGGCGTCCTTCGCTGGGGCGGGGCGGGGCGACGAGCCCGAGGGGCCACGATAGGGGAGGGGGGGGTTCTATGAAGGGCTTATAGGCGAGCCGTCCTCCTCCTCCTCCTCCTCCTCCTCCTCCTCCTCCTCCTCCGCCCTCCTCCTCCTCCTCCTTCTCCTCCTCCTCCTCCTCGAGGCTCCTCCTCCTCCTGTCCCTCCTCCTCCTCCTCCTCCTCCTCCTCCTCCTCCTCCTCCTCCTCCTCCCCTTCTCGCCCTCCCCTCCTCGGGTCGCCTGCGGCCCCGGGGGAAACCTTCCACGATAGGGAGGGGGACCAGCACAAGGGTGGAAACATCGGCGAGGAATCGGCGATGCGTCGCCAACAGATCGGCGACAGGCCCCCGATAGCGAATCCGCACGGTTCTGGGCAGGCTGGGGCTATCGGGCCCCTATCGGCGATCAGGGGGCGATTGGGGGCCGATAGATCTCCCCCTATGGCTGTGCCCCCCTATCGTTAGGTCGAGCATGTCCCCCTACAGGCGGCTTTGGGGCGGAAAATAAAACATAGACCACAAATACTCGAACATGGTAAAAAAATCGAAAAATCGTCCCCAGACTATTTTTTACTATGTTTAAATGTTCCTCATGTAGAGGGACACGCCCGACGTAACCCCATCGTTCCCCCTGAAAGCCGCTGTGGGCACTGCCGAAGCTTCCGCACACGAAAAAAAAACGCGGACTTTGTGTTGGCGTCCTCGGCGTCTGCGAGGCCCTCGCGGGACCCTGCTGGGCCGTCAAAAGAGGGCTCGGGGCAGAAGCCCGGGCCCCTGGGAAGCGGTCCAGAGAAACAGTTTGTTTTTCGCTGAGCTCGCAGATGCCTCAAATAGATTGCCGTGTTTATGTATGACAAACGGCGGCCACAAGCCATGCACGCGCCCTGTAGTAACGTGCCGCGTCAGAAATGTTGGCGCCATAGGATCTTCGTCTCGTCATCACCCTCGTGCTCGGCATCGCCATCGTCGTCGCGGTTCTCATCATCGGCAACGACATAGTCATCGTTCTTACCATCGGCGTCGGCTCTCCTCTCCTCCCTCCCTCCTGCGCCCTCCCTTCTCCCTCGTCGATCCTCCCTCGTACATTCGTCCTCCTCCCCTCATCTCCATGTTCGTCTTCACCCTCCCCCTCCTCCTCCGACTCCTTCCGCTACTCCCCCCTTCGTCGTCGTCCTCCTCCTCCTCCTCCTCCGCCCTCCTTTCCTCCTCCTCCTCTTCCTCCTCCGCCCTCCTTTCCTCCTCCCTCCTCCTCCTCCTCCTCCTCCTCCTCCTCCTCCTCCTCCTCCTCCGCCCCCCTTTTCTCCTCCCTCCCCCCTCCTTCCCTCCTTCCCCGGCCTCCGACCGCCCTGCCCACGGATGAGAATCGGCGGAGCGTCGAATGATCGGATAGATATAATAATAATAATAATAATAATAATAATAATAATAATAATAACATAAGAATAACCATATTAATACGATTGATAATTATTACCCTTCTAACAATAATACTACTAAGATTAATCAACGTAGTAGTAACAATAATACGAATAATAGTAATAATGGTGATAACAATAATGATAATAATGAAAATGATAATAATAAGAAGAAGAATAATAAGAAGAAAAAGAAGAATAATAATTGTAATAATACACATGCGAATAATAATATAAATACAGACACACACACACGCGCACCCAAGAAAGCCCGAAGAGGCCCCAAGAGGTCCCCAAGAGGCTCCCAGGAGGCCCCAGGAGGCCCCAGGAGGCACCAGAGAGACCCCCGAGAGGCTCCCAAGAGGCATCCGAACTGCCCCCCAGAGGCCCCCGAGAGCCCTCCTTTATTAAAAGAGCACAAGAAGCATTCATCAGGACTTTGACCCTCAACCCAGGCACGGTGGCAGGATGGCCCGAAGGCCAGTCGACAAATACGTATAGAGAGAGAGAGGAAAAGAGAGAGAGAGAGAGAGAACAAACAACAAAAACAACAAATCAGATATGTACATATATATATATATGTGTGTATTCATACATATGTTATATTATATATATGATCGCAGTGGAACGGAGAGCACCCCAGCGGGAAACTGGTTGCGGTTTCGTGTTCGTGTCGTGCGTGCGGGCGAGGCGAAGCTGCGTGGGCGCGCGAGGGGAATGATCCCGCCGTCGCTAGGGCGATTCGGATGCAAAAGTCCGGCCCTCTGGTGGGCGCGCGGTGGCTGGGGGTGTCCCGCCGCGGTGCCTCGCGGTGTCCCGATGGTGTCCTGCGGTGTCTTGTCGTGGGTGCGCGAGAGGAATGATCCCGCTGTCGCCAAGGCGATTCGGATGCAAAAGTCCGGCCCTCCGGTAGGCGCGCGGTGGCTGGGGGTGTCCGACCATGGTGTCCCGCGTTGTCCCGATGGTGTCCCGCGGTGTCCCGCCTTGGTGTCCCGATGGTGTCTCGTGGCGTCCCGTGGTGTCCCGCGGTGTCCTAATAGTGTCCCGCGGTGTCCCAGTGGTGTCCAGTAGTGTCCTGCGGTGTCTCGCCGTGGTGTCCCGATGGTGTCCCGATCGAAAGTGAGATCGATCGTGAGATCGATAACGACCAAGATGTGGTGGAAAATGTGGCTGGCGTCTGGGCGACATCTGCATTTTCCATCAGGCATGCGACAGCCGCCACAGCGAAAACGACATGCTCACTGAAGAATGGCGTCGGCACCGAGGCAACAATGAGATGTTCAATCAGACATGTGGCCTGCGCCAAGGCGAGAACGACATGCTGAATGAAGGATCTCGCCAGCGCCTCGGCGACAGCCACATTTTCAATCCAAGACCTGGCCAGCGCCATGGCGAGAACGACTTGATCAATGAAGGATGTCGCCAGCGCCTAGGCGACAGTAGCATTTTCAATCAGACATTTGGCTGGCACCTGGGCGAGAACGCCATTCTCAATGCAGGACAGGACGCCGCTGGCGCCCAAGCGGCAGCCACATCTTCAATCAGAGATGTGGCCCACGCACAGGCGAACACAGCGCGCTCAAGGAAGGATGCCGCTGCCGCTGGCAGCAACACTTCAATCAGAGATGTGGCCCACGCACAAGCTGGAGCATCACTCCGAGACCAACGTGCCACCAGAAAGCAGGTGTCGCGCCCATTCCGCGCCGGCGGGGCTCGGTGTCACCGAGGTCCGGGTTACGTCAGGTGGGTAGTCCACGTTAGGGGGGGGGTGTAGTGAGATCGATGGTTGGATCGATAGTGAGGTCGATCGTGAGATCGGTAGTTGCATCGATCGTGCAAGCGGCAGTGATATCGATAGTGAGACCGATAGTTGCATCGGTAGTGCAATCGATAGTGAGGTCGATAGTGCGATCGATTGCGAGATCGACAGTGAGATCGATAGTGGGATCGATTGTGAGCTCATTTCGAGATCGATAGTTAGATCGGCCGAGTGATATTGATAGAAAGATCGATCGCACGATCGATAGTGGCATAGTTTGTGAGATCGACTGTGGGATCGATAGCGAGATCCGTTGAGTGTGATCGACAGTGAGATCGATCGAGTGAGATCGGTAGTGAGATGGGTCTTTCCTCTCCCCCAACCCCCTTATCATCCGAGGAGTGGTCTTATAGGTGTGCTATTCCCCAATCGGTGCTTCCACTGAAGGGGTCCTAGCGGAAATTGAAAGATTTGGCGAACTTTTCCCGCCGATTTTGGTAGCAGGCTGGGTCCCCAGGTTCCCGGTTCCGGGCTCCCAGGTTCCCGGGTATTGGTTCTGGGCCGATTTTGGTGGGTTCTGGGTTCCCGGGCTCCTGGGTTCCCAGTCCATGTCCTCAACGAAAACCATCCACTGATTGGGTGTTTTCTCTGGTGTAGAATTCATATGTATGTATATATATATATATATATATATGTGTGTGTGTGTGTAAACACAAGACTGCTGTGGCGCTTCGCGCCGTGCACCTTGATCCTTGAAGTTTGGTATGCAGGCGGAATGGCAGGAAGGTCAAGCCGACAATTTAGCGATAACTCCTTGTTGGCTTTTCCGGCACCGCCGTAATAATAATGTGATTCGTCATCCTCCCTCCATGCTTCTCTTTTCTCATTCTCGCCATACCCTGCGCATTCTCCCCATCCTCCTAAGCTCTTCTTGCGGAGGCTCCTCCTTGGAGAGCCTCTGGGGGCCTCACAAAGGCGTTTCAGGCTTTCTTAAGGCCTTCTGGAGGCCTCCTGGGCGTGTTCTGGGGGCCTCTAGGGGCTTCCTCGGGCCGCCCTGCCTCCAACCGCGGTCTCCCTGAACGACCAGGTCACGATTTGGAATGCTTCGGAGGGAGTCTTGGGGCCATCTTGGGCCGCCACGGGGCTCTCTTAGGGCCATCTTGGACCCCTGTTGTGACGTTTTGGGGCTCTCTTGGACTGCCTGGAAGCCCTTTCGGATCGTTGTGGGGCGATTTGGGAGCTTTCCAGGTGGCTTCGAACACCCAGAAGACTGCCGTCTTGGAGCGTCGGGGAGCCGAAAAGAGGAGAACCCCAAAATTCACCAAAAACCATAAGAAAATCAATGATTGTTGCCTCTTGGGGCCTTCTTGGGAGTGCTCTTGGAGGCCTCTTGGGACGTTTTGGAGCGGTCTTTGGGGGTATGACGGCTTCTTGGGGGTCGTCGTGCACCGTATTGGGGCTCTCTGGGGTCGCTTCGGGAGCGCGCCCGAACGCCTGGTACCCGTCTGGGGCCGTCTTCGGGCTCTCGCGAGGTTCTCCCCGGTCGTCTGGAGGGTTGCCCAGAAGCCTGGGGAGGGCCAAATTCGTTAGGTGGGGGTGCGCTTTTTCCGGCGCTCCCGGCCCTATGAAAATATGAGTGTATGTGCATTTGTACATACATACACAAACATATTCACACATATAACACTGCGTCGCCACAAATTTCGTCCAGAATTCGCCTGGGTGCCGGTCGCTCTTTCTCCAGGCATGGTGAGCCGGAGGAAGAGCCGAAGGAGGAGGAGGAGCAGCAGCAGCCAGAGGGAGGAGGCAGCAGAAGCAAGAGAGGGAGCAGCCAAACTCGTGCGGATGCTCGCCCCCGAAGGTGCGAGGAGCTGGGCACCCCGAGGAGCTGGGCACCCCAAGGGCCATCGACAGGGCCCTCCTCCTCCTCCTCCTCCTCCTCCTCCTCCCTTCTTCTTCTTCTTCTCCTTCCTCCTCCTCCTCCTCCTCCTCCTCCGCCTCCGCCTCCGCCTCCGCCTCCGCCTCCGCCTCCGCCTCCGCCTCCGCCTCCGCCTCCGCCTCCGCCTCCGCCTCCGCCTCCTCCTCCTCCTCCTCCTCCTCCTCCTCCGCCTCCGCCTCCGCCTCCTCCTCCTCCTCCTCCTCCTCCTCCTCCTCCTCCTCCTCCTCCCCCTCCTCCTCAATCCTCGCCACCATCACCCTGCAAACGACAGGGCCCGCAAAGAAGGGCCCCTCCATGCCCCATCCTCGCCATCATCACCATCCAGGAAGCGGGACCCGCAGAGCAGTGCCCCCCCCGCGTGCCCGATCCTTGTCATCATCAGTGTCCAAGCCCGTGCAGGCGTTCGGGAGTTCTGGCTTGACGTAGGCCTTCTGCATGTCGTGGCTTTGGGAGCGGATCGCGTCCAGGACCTCGGGGGGGGAAGCAAAAAGGTGCCGATACCACCCCCCAGACCTCTCCAGGGGTGCGTTCTGACCGGAAGGTCTGCGCGAATCCAGCCGTGGCGACGCAGGGATGGCAGCGGCAGCGCTATATTCTCATCCTATGGAAGCCTCCGTCATCTGCAGCTGGTCGAACGTCTCGAGCGTCAGGACGATCGTCTGGCAGAACTCGACGCAGCGTACCGAGGCCGTCCTGCGAGTCCTCGGCGCCCAGCGCCCGCTTTTTGCCGAGAGGGCGCCGCGAGCGCAGGGGGCACGCGGGCGCTTCTGTTCTTTTTGGCGCGGGCAGCGCGCGCGCCGCTCGGGGATGCGGGCGTCTCCTCGAGTTTTTTTGTTTGGCGCTCGCCCGCCTCTGCCCCTGCTCCACCCGAGACCGACGGGGAGAGAGGTGGAGAGAGAGAGAGAGAGAAAGAGAGAGAACAAAAATCAAAAACAAAAAAAGGGAAAGAAAAGGGAGAGACAAGGGAGAGAAAGAGAGAGAGAGAGAGAGACAGACAGACAGACAGACAGACAGGCAGGCAGGCAGGCAGGCAGACAGACAGACAGACAGGCAGGCAGACAGGCAGGCAGACAGGCAGGCAGACAGACAGACAGACAGACAGACATGGAGCCAGAGAGAGAGGGCCAGTACAGAGCTTGGGATGCCCCCCTCTTCTCCGTTGCCTCCGCCACGCCAGGGATGCCTTCGCCTTCCCGATGCCGCCTCCCGGAGGCATCCTCGCCACGGATGCCCTCAAACAGCTCGTTCGGGCCCGGACCCGTCTCTTCTCGTCCGTTCTTCCTGCTTCTTCCCGGCTCTCTCCTGCCCCCATCCTGCCTCCTCCCTGCTTACCGCGCTCCTGCTCCAGGCATCTCCACGATTTGCTCAAGCATGCCCCCCCCCCTCAGCAACCTTTCTTTAAGTCGGGCCTGTCCCCCTACAGTGGGATTTTCGACGAAAAAATAAAAATAGTCCCAAAATAGTCGGGGGACTTTTTTTTTCAGCATGTGATGACCATTTTGGCATATTTTTGGGTTATTTTTATTTTCCTCCTCGAAAATCCCCCTGTAGGGGGGACAGGCCCGACTTAAACCGTTCTGGAATCTCCCACGGCACCGCGCTCGCGCGCCAGCGCGAATCGGCTACGTCAGGTTCGTGTCGTGACGACCCCGGCGTTGGTTTCTGACTCCGCATGGATCGTTCAACCTTGAACGATCGGCGACTGTGGATCGCTCGATCGTTCCATATAGGCCGATTCTGGGCCACTGGCGGCGTTCAACCTTGAACGCCCGCGGCGGGGTCGCCGCCGGTCGACACGACGCGAACCTACCGTACCTCCTCCGTCGGCCCGGGGGCGCCCAGACCCCTCCGCAGGACCAGGCCGACAGCAGGAGACCACTCAGGTGGTTCGTTCGGGCCTGACCCCTCCTCCCTCCTCCCCTCCTCCCTCCTCCCCTCCCCCCTCCTCCCTCCTCCCTCCTCCCCTCCTCCCTCTCCTCCCCTCCTCCCTCTCCTCCCTCCTCCCTCCTCCCCTCCTCCCTCTTCCCTCCTCCCCTCTCCCTCCTCCCTCCTCCCCTCTCCCTCCTCCCTCTCATTCCCTCTCTTCCTCTCTTCTCCTCATCCTCTCCTCTCTTCCTCTCCTCCCTCCCCCTCCTCCCTCTCCTCTCCTCCTCCCCTCCTCCCCTCCTCCCCTTCCTCCCTCCTCCCTCCTTCCCTCCTCCTCCTCCTCCTCCCTCCTCCCTCCTCCTCCTCCCTCCTCCTCCCTCCTCCCTTCCTCCCTCCTCCCTCCTCCCTCCTCTCCTCCTCCCTCCTCCTCCTCCTCCTCCTCCTCCTCCTCCTCCTCCTCCTCCCTCCTCCTCCTCCTGCTCCCACCTCCCCCTATCCCATCTTCCTCCCTGTGCACTCTTCCGCCCGCTGTCCTCCCTCCCTCCCTCCCTCCCTCCGCCATCCTCCCTCCCTCTCGGAGACCAGACCTGTGCGGAGGCCGAGTGAAACGGGCCAGGCATGGGGAACAAAAAATTGCATAAACATAGAAACTCGGAGGTCCGCGCTGATTCTCTCGGATCGGCGCTGGGCCCCCCAGCGGCGCCTCTGGCGCGCCGCCTGGCGCGCTCCCGCGCCAGGGAGGAGGGTCCAGCGCCGATCCGAGAAATCCGCGCGGACCTCCGAGTTTTTATGTTATATCACTTTTTGCTTCCCTAAGACAGACTCGCACGCAGCATCTCCGAGCGCAGAGTTGCGAGGATGTCGTGGGCGAAACGCGCCGGATCACCCCGCGCGCGGCAGCTCGGAGCGCGCAGTGGGAGGACGTTCCAGGCGAGACGACCCAAACCGCCTCGCGCGCGGCACCTCGGAGCTCAGAGCTGCGAGGAGGTCTCAGGCGAAGCACGCCGGACCACCTCGGGCGGAGTCTTGGGGCCCCGGCGAGACGTTCTGGACCACCCCGCGCGCGGCATCTCAGAGGCCAGAGTTGCGAGGATGTCTGAAGCGAAACGCGCCGGACCACCCCGCGCGCGGCATCTCCGAGCCCAAAATTGCGAGGATGTCTCAAGAGAAACGCGCCAGACCACCTCTGGCGGGGCAGCTCGAAGACCAGAGTTGCGAGGATGTCTCAGGCGAAACGCGCAGGACCACCTCGCGCGCGGCGTCTCGGAGCTCAGAGTTGGTAGGATGTCTCGGGCGAATCGCCCAATCCTGACCAACTCCGAAGCGAGAGGATGTCTTCTCAGACATCCGACGTTCCGATTTTTTCGAGACGCGGGCCCCCGACCTCCCGACCACTTCCCCGGGACCGGCTTTTCATCCCGAGTCGTTTTTCGACGGTCCCGAGGCCCGGCGAGGGCCCCGAGAGGCCAAGAACTATGAAAAGCTTCTGTCTCGATTTTTTCGAGACGCCCGATGTCTGGGTCAGGCGAAGCGGCCCAGATCACCCAACAGCTCGGAGGGTGCCTCTGGTTGCGCGCTGCTCGGCCGGAGAGCCCCCCCCCCCTTCAGCAATTGCTGTCGGGGGACAAATCCCCAGACATGCGACGTCCTGATTTTTTCAGGACGGCGTCCCTGGAAATCCCAACCCCTTCCCCGGGGCCGGTTTTTCATCCTGAGTCGTTTTTTGACGGTCCCGAGGCCCGGCGAGGGCCCCCCAAGGCCGACAATGGCCCAAACCAGGCCGTCCTGATTTTTTTACGACGCCATCATGTCTGGGTCGTGACTGGAGCGCGAGACCTCGTCTTTCCGACCTTCTGAGGCACGTGTTCGAGCTGGGTCGACCTGTGCTTGGGCCCGGAGCCTGGCCAAAAACGCCCACCCTGACTCCGGATCCGCCCTACTTTGGGGAAATTCGTAAGTAGGGCTTGGAATTTCCGCCTTACTCTTCAAGCCCCGCTGATGCCAATTTCCGCCCTACTTTTCGGTTGCTGTTTCCGCCCTACTTCTGTGGATCTCCGCCCTTTTTGTGCAGACATGTCCGCCCTACTTTTTCGGCTTCTTCTAGGTGGATTTCCGATGCAATTTTAAGTTGAAAAAAAAAGCCAAAGCAGGGCGGATCTGGAGTCGGGGCCGCGGGAACAAGAAACGCAGCGCCCAGACCTCGGGGAGCGCACCCTCCGCGCGCCGCCACCTCGCGCGCGCCGCCCAACTTCCCAAACATGCGACGCCCTGACCTCCTCGCGCCGTGAAAAAAATCACGACGGGTGGTTTTGTTCCTAACATTTTCGGCCTCCGGGGGGGCCCTTCCCGGGCCTCGGGGCCGTCAAACAACGACCCAGGACGCAAAACCGGCCCCAGGGGAAGGGGTCCAGACCTCTGGGGGTCGACGCTGTGACAAAAATCACGGCGTCGGGGGTCTGGGGCCGCCCTGACTTCTTCCCTGCGCAGCCCCCTGGAAGTCCCGAAGGCCTTGCCCCCGGGGGCCGATGGCTCGTCCTGCGACGTGATCGGACGGCCCCGTCGGCCCGCCGAGGGCCTCGGGAGGCCGAGAGAACGACGAGGAACCTCCGCCCTGGATTCTTCTGTGCGACGCGACCATGCCTGGGAATGCGCCCCGAGCAGAGATTCAAAAGCTCGCCCCCGAGGAGGCCCGCGGCGCTGGCGCCGCCGGCCATCGCAGGCATCGACGGCTCCCCGCGCGCCGCCGTCCCTCGTCGTCGTCGCCGTCGTGGCTCTCGGCATCCTCGCCGCTACCGCCTCCGCCGACGTCGCCGCCGCCGCCGTCGTCGTCGTTGCCGTCGCAGTGGCAGTCGCCGTCGCCGTGCGATGGGGCGGTTTCGCCAAGCTTTTTCGCACCGGGCGCTCTCGCCCAGCTTCTCGGGCCATGGGGCCCTCACAGGTCGATCCTGCTCGGAAAATGGCCCAGAAAGATGGGTCCTAGGGTTCCGGTGGTGGCTCCTGATGGGGCCCAGGGACGCACGAATAAATGGACACAAACAACCTGATGCCCCATATGCAGCCCTATCTTCTGGGTTTTCGTCTCCCCCCCCTCTTCCCATGTCTTCCCATCTTTTCCTGGGCATCGACGATGAATTGTGCCTGTTGTGGCCGTCGTGGCCGTTGTGGCCGTCGTGCTGAGTTCTTCGCGATGCGACCGTCGTGGCCGTCGTGGCCGTCGCCGCCGCCGTGGCCGACGCCGTCGCCGC